ACCTTAGTAACCTGCGCTTCGCCGATGACATTGCATTGCTGAGTAACTCGGGGGACGAATTGCAACTCATGATTACGGAGTTAGACAAGGAGAGCAGAAAGGTGGGTCTTAAAATTAATCTGCAGAAAACGAAAGTAATGTACAACAACCTCGGCAAGGAGCAGCGCTTCGAGATAGGTAATAGTGCACTTGAAGTTGTAAAAGACTATGTCTACTTAGGGCAGGTAATAACCGCAGAGCCAAACCACGAGATTGAAGTAACTAGAAGAATAAGAATGGGGTGGAGCACATTCGGCAAGCACTCTCAAATTATGACAGGTAGATTGCCACTATCCCTCAAAAGGAAGGTATATAACAGCTGTATCTTGCCGGTACTTAGCTACGGAGCAGAAACCTGGAGACTTACAAAGAGGGTTCAGCTTAAATTGAGGACGACGCAGCGAGCAATGGAAAGAAAAATGGTAGGTGTAACCTTAAGAGACAAGAAGAGGGCAGAGTAGATTAGGGAACAAACGGGGGTTAAGGATATCATAGCTGAAATCAAGATGAAGAAATGGACATGGGCAGGGCATGTAGCGCGTAGACAGGATAACCGCTGGTCATTAAGGGTAACTGACTGGATTCCCAGAGAAGGGAAGCGGGTTAGGGGGAGACAGAAGGTTAGGTGGGCAGATGAGATTAAGAAGTTTGCGGGTATAAATTGGCAGCAGCAAGCACAGGACCGGGTTAACTGGCGGAACATGGGAGAGGCCTTTGTCCTGCAGTGGACGTAGACAGGCTGATGATGATGATGATGATGTTAAGTAAATGTGCTTCTGTAAGGTATTTGAAGCTCAATAATAATAGTGCAATTTTTCTGCCACATTTGCTTCCAAGAATAAAGCCAAAATATGTTATGTTTGCATTTTTTATTGCAATATTGCACTTTGTATGAATAACTGAGCAGTGAATACTTACTGCACAGAAGGTATATTTTGATGAAAAAATATCTTTAGACCTCTCAAGCGGCTGAAATATACGATAAAATATCACAAATTCCACAAATTCGCGATTTTTGTCCGTATTGAGATGCAATTTGCTCCATGTTGTGATACAATGAAAACTCATCAATATACCTAAATTGTAAGAAAATGAAATTCTTTCTGTAATAAAATTCTTATCGCAAAAAGAACAGGAAAGAGCGCTGTCAACTGAATTTTATTGAAGGTGCTACGAGCGTTTATATGCTGAGCACAACACCAGGGCTCATCTGCAACAACACATGTGTGACCATGACAAAATAATTTTAATCGAGAAAAGAATGCTATTTTTCGGAAAAGATAAGTGAAGGTGTACTGATGCATTGATCCTTGGCCTTCCTGATAAAGAGTTCTAAAATCTCTCATTTTTTCTGCTTGCTTTTTTTCAAAAACCGTGTTTTATGAAACCTAGAACTAACATTCTTTACGGTGTCCGGCCATGAGACTACTATAGCCCTTCTTAACATTTGAAGCATGCTGTCTTGCTTGATCATTGAAGCATTGCCCAGTTTGTCCTATGTTTACTTTTCCACGTGTTAGCGGTATCTCATACACATTATATTGGCATTCAGTAAACCTATTCTAGTGACGAATGGTGCAAGATTGACTATTCCTGTTGCTGTAAGTACATGCACTTTTGAAAGCATGAAATGGATGGAAAACAACAATGTCATGTCTGCTGGCTCTTTTCCTAAAATTGTGAGACACCTTATGTACGTAGTACCGTGTGACATGCAGAGGTGATTGGTCATTCTCTTTTTCTTTTGGTCTTGTTTCCTTTAACTTTACTTTCTGCAGGAGGGTTTCGCAAACAAGTGTGATGATGCTGTTGGGGTATAGGCTGGTGCTATCAGCCCAGGAGTGCTAAGAATGTTCTGCCTTTTGATAGTGGGCATTCAAAATTAGTAGAAAGAGAAATTGATAATACATGTATTCAGGCCACCCTTCAGAAGTCGTGTTAGCACAAGGGTGAGGTCAAGCTTAAAAACCAGATTAAAAGACTAAAAGATGCTGGGTATCCCAAAAGAATCATCACACCCGTTTGCAAAACCCTCCTGCAGAAATTAAAGTTAAAGAAGGCAGGACCAACAAAAAACAATGGCCAAAACCTTTCATTGTTATACCACATCACGTGTCTCACAAGTAAAAAAATAGCCAGCAGATATGATATTAGCGTGTTGTTTTCCACCCCTTGCAAGCTTTCAAAAGTGTGTGTACTAAACAGCAACAGGAATTGTCAATCTTGCCTCATTCGTCACGAGAAACGGTTTACTTAATGCCAATTTAACGTTTGTAGAAGTATTTTTTATCAGGTGAACCAATGATCAGTGCATCACTACACGTTCACTTATCCTTTCCGAGAGGGAGTATTCTTTTCACAGTTAAGATTATTTTGTAGTGCTCACACGTGTCGTCGCGCAAGAACACGGTTCTTGTACTCCGTATAAAAGCGCTGGTAGCACATTCATTAAATTCTGTTGACAGTCGGTGCTCTTTCCTGTCCTTTCTGTCTCTTCCTAAAGTTGTCACGCTGTGACTAGCACACAACCACTATGAACCAACTCTCCCAAATTAAGCTCTTGTTACGTAACACGTAGACCGAGTTTCGTATGTAAAGAAGGAGCGGTGCTTTTAAAATAAAATTTTTCACATATAACACCTAGACGGCATTCCAGGAAGTTCAGAAGGCAGCCACGTGACCAAATATTTCTCCTCTCCTAAATATTCCAGAAGTTCACTATTTTCAATGCAGCACGAGTTTTTCAAATACATTTGAGATGGTTGCCAAAATGGCTGCGACATTTGGCATAAAGTGACCCAGCTGTGTCAGCCATAATTATGCATTACCTCTTTTGTTTTTTGTGTGTCCTGACTCAGTTTTGTATTCGTTTTTAGCTTATTGTGTTCGTTTTTAGCTTATTGCGTTTCTGATCATTGTATTGGTTTCTTAAGTATTCACTAAAGTTATATTGGCGAAAACCCATATATGTTTGCATGTACATCATTTCTCATAACCAGTTGTTATACATCCAGGAATACAAAGCTTAAACCACTGTGATTGTATACATTTGAAAACACTATCCACATATATTTTTGTGTGCATCACTTCTTGGGAACGATTGTGTACATGAAGGCGTATATAATGAAATCATGGTGATTCTATATATTTGAAAGAATCATAAGTATATATTTGCCTGTATTTCATTCCCATTAACCGATTGTGTACATGAAGGAGTATTAAACTGAAAACCACTGGGATTGTAGATACATGAAAGAATTATAGGGATATATCAGCGTGTATTTCATTTGTAGTCTCTATGTACTTGAAGCAGTATACTAAACTGAAACCAGTGCAATTGTATGTTGCAAAAAATTGTCAATAAAGTGAAACTGAAAAAAATATAATAAACATTTGAGGTGTTGCATGTGTAGTGTACGTATACGTGAACGTATATCTAGTGAAAAAGTTGTGTGACAGAAAAAAAGTTTATGTTTTATTTGCCTATAAATAAACGCAATATGCAAGGGCAGCAAGGCTTCATTTTCTGTAACGCGCATTATGCATGTACTGTGAAGTATATATAGATCCAGCACAAGTTCATAGACGATTGTACGCGTCTATGAACTTGTGCTGGAATTTTTACTGTGCACGATTATGGGAGACGCCGTAGTGGAGGGCTCCGGAAATTTAGACCACGTGGGGTTCTTTAACGTGCACCTAAATCTGAGCCCACGGGCCTACAACATTTCCGCCTCCTTCGGAAATGCAGCTGCCGCCGCCGCCGGGATTTGAACCCACGCCCTCCGGGTCAGCAGCCGAGTACCTTAGCCACTAGACCACCGCGGCGGGGCGTAGGTAGAAATGCTCAAAGTACCTGCACTCCGCTAGGAAACGCATTACATTTAAAGATAAATATACCGCAACAGTGAAACAATAAACGCGATAGCTGAAAGTTGTACTTCTATACAAAGCAAGGACACAGTCTAACTCTTCTAGATTCAATCTACCATGACTCTACAAAACTCAGTGGGAAAGTAGTGGTTTTTGTGGAGTCTTTCCTCTTCACACGAAACGGAGGGAACACAGCAGTAAGAGATATGCATGCGAGACGTTTCGTCACAGCTGTCGATACAGCGCGTCCCAACGCTTGCATCTTTACGATCCAAGTGCGCTGTTGCTGCAATAAATGGGTAGGCAGGTGTTAGGGCCTCACCTTCCTTAGACAAGAAGAGCTTCTCTAAGGCAGGTGAGGCCCTAACAAGAAGAACGCTTATGGCCGCATCATTGGGAGTGTATGTCCCTTCTTGTCGTGTTTTTCGCCTTTCGTTCCGACCGAAGAGAGACCAAGAAACGCTACTACATAGACCGCCGCTGGGTGTTGCTTACACGCGACAATAATTATGCATGATGGGACAAGAGCGAAATCCTAACTGCAACTTGTGTAACACGCCAAAAACTATTAATCACATCCGGTGTGTGTACCCTTTATACGCAGTTGAAAGACAATCTTTGAAGTGTCTTACATATGACCTAGACAGCCAACTCTTTTCGGAGAAGAAACTTTTGGGTGCTTGGGAACGTGTGGATCATGCTCAACGCAGTTTAAAGGGCCCGCTCGCATTTCTAAGCAAGACAGGTTTAGATTCCCGTCTTCAGAGAATCTGATAATGTAGAGACTTCTGTGCGTGTACGCCATCGAACGAGACATTGTGTGCAGTGACTCATTCTGCTATACCACAATCACCCCTCATCATACTGTCCTCTTTCTTTCCTTTTTCTCCTTACCCCCGTGTGGAGTAGCAGGCCAGAAACCCGCTCTAAAGGCCGACGTCTCCTCCTCCTTCTCTATAAACACCTTATTCTTATTATCATTTTTTTATTAGGAAGGCTTTTACTGACTTTTACTCTCGCACACCTCCATGTTCGTAATGTCTTCCTCAGATGTCTTTCAAATGCGAAATGAATACTTTCTTTTCTAGGTCACAAACACATATATGACCTCCTCGTTTCGAACTCGTCAATAAAAACTGGTCCTCACCACAAGTGTATCAAGCAATACCGAAAACGAGAAAGCAAGGGAAGAAGGGTGTACCATCCGTATTGCCAAGACATACTTAAAAACCGTGGTTCCTTTCAGAATCAGTCAACCAAAGTAGAAAGGTGCCTCCGCTAGCTTATGTATGCACTTAATATTTGCTGTTAAGAGATGTGGCACAGAAACATTGCAACTGATGACACTGATATGCAGAACTTACTTGTACAATATGTGTCATATTCAATATTCACGCTCAATATACGTAATAAGCTAAGTAGAACATGACGGTAAACATAATGTCGCAGTCTGGCTTTGCCGAAATTCAGTTATAGGGGTAGTTATTTACTGTACATGCTGATTAGACACAATAATATTGTTAGAATCAAATAGCCGTTCCTGTGAACGCCACAGCGTTAAACCCATCTACTAACTAGAAATACTGTTTTAGTGCGCTTGGTTGCCATCAAAAAATTATATCTTTCGCGTACAAAATGGTGACAGCCAGATTCGAAGAGTCGGTAGTTCTACTCAGATCGACAAATTAATGCTCACTGTCTTTCCTTAGATGCATGCAGTGTCCCACAGATTAAAAAAGGAGCCGGGCAGGGCGCGAATTTCAGTTGTCTTTTCAACTGCAAAAAAAAATAACTAAAAGCCTTTGCAGATGCTTAATCGATGTAAACCGTCCAAGAAAGGATGCAAAAATAAATACCGGAAGCCTGTCACTACTTGCATCAAGGGAGTAGTTTATCACAACCCTTCAAGCTGCAGCCGCTCCTACCTAAGACAAACTGTATGCTCGCTGCCTTAGTGATAGCCTCAGAGGTCATGCCAGAACTTTCTGGCAAAAGCAAGGCAGCAACTTGGTGCTACGTTGCAGATTGCGTAATTGCGCACCGCACTTCACTCACGTCTCCGTCGTAAGAAAGCATTCAGACGGACGCACGAGCAAGATCATTGAAGCATAATTCACTATGATCAAGCGTGGCCGTTCTTGCGCTAGCTCGCCGTCCATTCAGCTAATCCATGTTTATCACGCGCCTTGATACATCTTTTTCTGCCTGTATATTACATGTTCGCGCAATAAAGCCCTGTTTGAAGTCATGGCGTGTTTTGTGGAGTCTCATTTTGTGCCGCTGTTTTTGCGCTGTTTGGAAAAACTATCTATACTTGTCATGAATCACATAGATTCACATGCCATGGCCTTGGTGCTCTTGCGCCCGCTCCATTAAGTCTATATATATCGAAATTAGTATGGCGTCACAAAAGTGTATGATAATTTTAAGGGACAGGTCCGAGCAATCAAATCATGACGCGCATGTTCTGCATGGTATAATTTACATAAGATGTTGTAGAGGCGTTTGCGGACGTTTAATTCAATTAGAATGAGTTTAATGCATAATTGATTGATTGATTGATTGATTGATTGATTGATTGATTGATTGATCGATTGATTGATTGATTGATTGATTGGTAAATGTATGCATGTGCCGGGTTTGATGCCCCAAAACCATCATATCATTATAGGACATGCTGTAATGGAGGGCTCTGGAAATTTCGACCATTTGGGTGGCCTCAACGTGCACCCAAATCTGTGCACACGGGCCTACAGCGTTGCCTCCCCCGAAAATGCAGCTGCCACTACCGGGACTTGATCCCGCGACCTGTGGGTCAGCAGCCGAGTACACTAGCAAATAGACCAGCCAGGTGGTGCATGTTACATTCAGATCATGAATAAGAAAAGCGGACTAAATCGGAGTTAGTGCAAACGTGTTTTGAGAAAAAAATGAAAATAATGAAAACACACCACATCTGGTTGTCGAGGTTCCTGAGCTATAACATTAGCTTCTCTCTTCTTCCCGAGGTCCAATTTCGGCCTGTTACAGCAAGAGACGCGCACAAACACTGCAGGTAAACTGGGTAAATGATCCTGCATACCAGGAGGTCTAATACATACCAAATGTATGTCTAATATACCGCTTGCATTTTACCACACCATCACCTTAGTACTGACCATGAGATAGAAAAAGCGACAGTATTGTAAACATAACTGCAAAATATGTCAGCCAAGCTATTCAAGTACAAGCTCGCAGTCCACTTTAGAGCACATGTCACCAGTGCGGCAAAGTGCGACCCTTGTGTGTATTTTTTTTTCGCAGTAACACACTGATTCATGGCATGCTTTTTGCCCGCTGCGAAGTTGGATGCTGACTGCATCAACAACGCTTCAGTTTGAGTAGTTAAATTGGCACACATCTGATGTTTACACACGATGCGCGTGCGTAGCGTGGACCGCGCCAATACGCGGCTAAAAGCGAGTGCCGATGCTGCTATTCCTTATCACATTTAGTATCAATGTTTGAACGCATCATACGTATCATTTGTGTCAGCTTGCTACAGTGAAATTAGGCAGTGATATGCATCTCATACGCACCAGTCTATGTTTCCCACGCAGCGGAAGGTGGCCGGCTGGGAATCACTTTCCGGCGCCGTATTATCGGTGCTGCCATCATATTCGGTTGTCGCTCTTGCAGTGGTGACCGGCTCTAATACGCACGGTCATACAGCCAACTCGTCGTGACTTCCACAGTAACTGCAATCACCCGATTTCAACAGATAACCATGGCTTCGACTGCCGGTGAGTGCAGTCTGCTGACCTCACTGTTCCGAACGTGGCGTCATGGAGCTGCGACCAATCACATGCGCCGGTGAAACTCGCGATGCCGGGTGAGGCGCCTGTTGCTAGTTTTCGGCAAAATAAACTCATCTGATTTTGGTTGTGCAAATTTTCGTCTGCATACTCGAGTTCGCCGCACGATATTACGTATCATGGCACCACAACTTTGTTTTATTTTAAAAAGTGCTTTAGTATTCCTCTAAGGAACTCGTGCTAGTGTTGAACGCCGTTCTTCGGTGTACCTACAGTTAACCACAAGAAGTTTACGGACCACGTGAGCGCGTGGACAACAGCCTCTTCGAGACACTTCGCTACATCAGCGGTGATCGACAGCACCGCCGCGCCTACGCAACATTTCTTCCCCCCCCCCCCTTAATGTTTGGTCTGCATTATTTTTCTGACTGCGTACAAAAAATTTTCACAATTCACTTTTTAACGCGATGCGTTTTTTTTTTGCATCTGCGTTCGAGGCACCCTGTGAATGTTTTGACCCTGCTATGAAGAGAGAAATGTGACAGTTGTACTGCAGATAAGCGCTCCGCTGGAACACGGCGAACTAACAATGCGCTACGTGGCAGTAGAAAATTGAAAGGCTAGTGAAAAAAAAAAAATAAAGCCATTTCTAGCCTAGCACAGCAGTCGACGGTAGATGGCGCGGACAGGCAGTTTGGCATGCGCTCATGTGGTCGTCAAACTTTTGTGGTTGACTGTACATTGCTGTAACCAAGTGAACGAGTACATTGAAGTGTTCCAGCCCTAATTCACCTAAGGCCACACAGTGCTCTTTTTTTTCAAAGCTGTCTTGATGCCCCTAAACGCAACAGTACAAAGATATCAAATAACCAAGAATAGAAAAAAATGAAGAGTAAATAAAATAGCAATTATTACTTCAAATACGCCAAAAAAGCGTTATGTCTAACTACGGGTCACTTCGCACAGCTAGAAAAGAAAAAGATACACAATTACAAAGGATTTTCCAAATCTATTCAGAACAAAAGGTGTAATGCAAATTCAAAAAATTGTAAAATCATCACTACTATACAACATGTGCTTTAGCAGTGCACTATAGCTTTTATTATCTGTGACAAGGAAACAGACTGGTGACGAAGAGTCATTCACAGTGGGGGTCTTTCACATAAGGTACTGGGTGCCAAGAAAGCCTATGATACGGTGGTAAGGCTGAACCTAACTCCCCAAACGTAGGAGCCACCTAAGTGAAACTAAAGGTTGATCTTCCGGACGTGAATAAAGTTGAACATGCCATAATATACAATAGAATATAAAAATAGCATATAAAATGAATAAATGCAAATGAATATTTCACCAAAAATTATCCAGTTAAAACACGGGCAGGCTGCACTCCCGTTTTGCATTAGTAGCAGTCATAGATAGACTTCGCTCATTTTTTAAACGTGTCGAAACATGTACTTGCGTATTTGCATAATCCAATGCACATTGTCATCACCACCATTCTAAGAGAGAGTTCATGTCCAGTGCAGGGCAGCGAATTCTCCCAGTGATCTCGAATTAGCACCGCCATTTTTCGACCACAGTGCTATTGTATCTTCACCCTGCGAAGCTTTTAATTCCATCGCTTGATGAAGCTAGCAGTTGTGCAAGGCTTCTTTTAGAGAGGCAACGTCAGCGAGCTCATTTCATAGACGTTTCTTTATTGGTGTTGACGTCGTTGTTTCTGGCAGCTGCAAATGGCAGCTTTGTCCATGAGACAAACTTAAGATCCATGCAATTATATAAAACTTCAGTTCAAGTGTAAATCGAAGCCAAGGATTTTAGGTGTTCTACCATATTGCTAGAACGCCAGGTATTTCTGGAGCTTGGTCGGCAAGCTTCTAATGCCGGCACCTTGTCCGGTGGCAATGTAGGCCACCACTGGCGTGTACGCCAGTGTTGCCGGTGTGCGCTTATCAGTGGCCGCTCAAGGCGGTAATTCCAACAATGCTCACTAGATTGCAGGGCCGTTCCATGCGCTGACCGCACAGCCGCAACACACGTGCCGGCACATCTGCCGCACACCAGCAGAGAGTGAAAGAGCGTCGCCAATAGGCTTATTTCTCCCCGGCTTGCGTGCGGCAGGGGTCCCGACACCTGCGTTTTCCACTGGTATTGTTTGTATGAACAGGTGAGAAGCTGCCGCGCGCTTATGAAATGTGCGGCAGTTCCAATGCCAGATCTCCAGATGGTTTACTTGTGTTCGTCTATTACGTGGTAGATTAGCCATGATGGATAGCGGTGGTTTCCGCGACGTCTGCCTGTTTCGACCGGCGGCTTACCGGCGAACCTGGGCTAGAATTCGTGCGTTTGCTCACGTTACTTTTAACTCTAGTGACAAATTCATAGACATAAACTTTAAGATTATTAAATTTAGAATGCATCTGCTGGTGAAAAGCTTGCATGCTTTTAAGTTGCTGCATAGTTTGAGGGAGGGTACATTCAGGTGACCCGGAGGACATTTCATTTTGGCCCGAAACGTGGCCAGCCGCGTGATGAGAGAGACCACGTGTAGGGTCTGTTTGTGGCGAGCTTGGAGGGACACCAACCCTTTGTTAATTTCCGCCAGACTCTTGCGAAGGAGTTTGTTCTTGGCTATAATTTGCCTGTATTCTGGATTGTTAGTGAGTAAAGCAAAGGGAGACTTGACGTTTGCTCGCCTT